ATCACTTTTTTGTTCAACTTTCACATTTCAATGTATTTAAGGCAAATATTATTGAACATAGTGAGAGCTGCGACCCTTTGTCTTTCAGTGAGACAACCGGACAGAGCAAGCTTCTACAGTTGCACTAAGTTTTGATAACAGTTAAATATTATTTGAATAATACATTTATTTCAATGTTGATGAATTTAGAACGGTTTATTCATAAACTGATTATCTTTGTAGTACACTGTTGGATTTAAAAAACACATTCAAATAAGAAAATCATTATATTTATGAACAAACAAACACACCTCTTTCTTAAATAACACACTTGCTCTGCAATAATATGTTTCTTGATATTTCTGTTAGGAAAGGACACGCCTGAGAGACAGGACTGCTTCACCATGTTCTCTTTCTCTGAGGGTCCAGAAGAACATCCAAGAGGGAAAGGAGAAGCTGATGTGATAAAAGTCAGCTGATCAAATGCATTTGCCTCACTATATGAGCTTCACAATACTTGTGCCTTGTACCGCCGAGTTTGCAACGTCATAAATAAATGGTGCCAATCTTCAGTCAGATGTGAATGTGTAATTTAACATTTTCAGTAAGAATAACGGACAAAAGGAGTGCAAATACAATTTATTGAAATGTGAACTAAAAGTTATCAAGCATGAACCATCACCATTTTTTTTTTAAATAAAAACGAAATAATATACATAAGTTACACTCAATGTTAATCTGTTAATTGACAGGTCTGTGCAGGTGGTAACAGCTATGTCCAGCATGGGCCAAGTTCTGTAGGTGCAGCTGGTGCAGGTCCTCCTCCCTCAGGCCTGGTCCTCCTCGCAGGGAAAGACCCTCAGCCCTCTCTGGCCAAACCAACAGACAGGACGTTCATAAAGCTGAGGTTTACCCCAAAGTCTCTAATTATCCATTCTGTGAATATGAGAGGGGAACAAATAGTGTAATAGATGCTTTGGAGGATAAGAAATATAAAGTTAACTGTTGAGTTGCTCAGTTTTTTAGATTGACAGGGTTTAATAACACAAACAAAAGGAGAGAAATAAAGATTGGTCTTTCAATAAATTGTGTTGATTTTGTCTTTTGAATTGTTTGTCTGAAGTCAAGTAGCTAGAACTGTTACTTATAGTTTTAATGATACAGTCTGGTTATAATGTTTGGAGGAGGCATCACAGGTAAGAGCACCATTTGTTGTGTTCCATCCACAACAAATTGATGTGTGTATTTATTTATCTACTATTTCTTGAATCATTACTGTCAGTCCAAAACAAGAGATTTTGTTTTGGTAACGTTTAAAAAAAAAAAAAAACATTATCTATTTTCCACTACACTATCTTGAATACTTTAGTTTTTACGTCACTACATTTATCTAACAGCTTTAACATTGTAAAGGTGTCACTTCGGACTCTGGGTAATTATGACAGCATGTCCTACTATTTTGAGACTTTGAACAAACCAGACCTTAATCTATTAATGTAGAAAATAGTCAGCACATTAAACCATTATGAAATTAATAATTAGTTAGCTCATTGTTCAAAATGAGCTCCAACTACAACAGTTAAGTCAACTCGTGCATCGGTAATAACAATAAATCAAATGATATCATATAATAGTATAACTTGTGTCTACTTTAAATACTTTAACAACACTTTCCTAATTATACTAGCATACTTTTACTAAAGTAACATTAACATGTTTAAATGCAGGGCTTTTGTAAGAGTGTATTTCGTATAGTGTAGCATGGTCTACTTGACTTATCTAACCGAAGTGATCGTTACGTTACTTTGCAAACCGTCACCCCCCACACACACACACGGTAACGTGATTCACTTCAATTAATGATAACTACGGAGCTTGCTAACAGCAAGGCACAAGGCTACTTCACTCATTTAGCTAGCTAATGTGAGATCCAAATGCTGTCGAGCAAGTAAAATAAAGAGCACAAACTGACTACTTACCCGAGCGGCGAGCCCCGCTGTTCTCCGTCATTTTTCTCCCGGGTTGTTGTGATCACATGACTGACAAAGCCGTGTTCTGATAGGCCAGAAGTCGGTTTGATTGCATTAGGGCTCGATTGCTTATCCTGTCTGAGTAGCCCGGATGATGCTGCATCGCAATTTTGGACATCGAATTTTATACACCGAATTTTTTGACGTCGAAATTTTTCACTTGAATTTTTGGGATCTGAATTTGAACATTCGAATTTTTTTCACTTTAATTTTTACATTTTTATTTCACATAGGTAAATTCGGAGCAAAAACATTCAGATACATGATTTTCAAAGTAATTATTTTCAATGCTATAAATTCGGTGTCTAATAAAATTCAAATACTTCTGTCTCTTGTTTGCTTCCATATTTTACTGCGACAACGTTGACTTGCCTGTGAATACAAAATAAACCATAGTGTTGGTGACAGTGTTGTCATTCTTCTTTGAACAGCAAGACCGCTAACACCCTATTTCAACAATCACACTCCCTGTAATCGACATAATTAATAGATAGTTTAGCTTCTCACGATCATTTGCTGTGGCCCACTGATGTTAACGATCTTCTTCTTTAGTGTTTATTGGCGGTTGGCAAATGTTAACGATCATTCGTAACTGAAAGGCTGCCTGCCAAACGTAAACAACATTCAGCCACGTGACTTGCAAACTCTCGCGAGAGTTTTACACAAGACGGATCCTTTCTAGCCATAACCAGGATGGCTGTTATTTTCCTAATCTGAAAAGCGACCCCAAAGGTAAACTACGCTCTACACTCTCTCAGCATCCACGTAGGAACAATATAGCGTCTGTAACATATTTAGCAGTCTTGATATAAGTTAACTAAACAGAATAATGTGCCTTTCTTAAGATGAGTTTTACTTGCTATAACTTACACGTCGTTTAAAGAGAAGTTGTAATGTTTCGCCACTGACAGACTTCCCTGTAAAACAAAGCAAATTATAATGAAGTTCTGAACGGTGATTACGTGGCTTTAGCTGCGTCATAAAGGGCACATTTCTGCAGTTTTAAGACATTTTAATTAACAATAAAAGTAGAGTACATGATGTGTCTATTTGCTAGTGTTGGGACTGGAGTGTAAGAAGCTAACAGTGTATTGTGCCATACACGTAAAGCTGTTGCGGAAGTTGTTTCGGTTCCAGAATTAGCTTTATTCGACATGTATGTGAACAGATGCCAGGAATTAGACTTTAGGCATTGCTTTTACTCAATTATACACATCACATCTAGGAACCAGGACAACCCCGCTGAACAAATACATGTTCAGAACAGACATGTACATTATGTACAGAAGTATGTGGAAACAAATAGGAGTAGGCTATACAAATTCTCAGAATAAATCACCAATAATACAAATATATCGTCTATACACGACGTTTCTGATTGTTGTAAACTTTGTACTCAATGGATATACAGTACATTTACTGTATGATCATGTATGTTGATGTGTAGATGTATAGGCTACAGGATTTATATAGAAAGTGATGGACGATAAATAATGTTCCATTCAAAATATATATTTTCTTGTAGTGTTGTTTTAGCTTTATGTATTGTATAGCAACACATTCGTTTTAAAGTCATGCAAACAAAGTATATTATAAAATTAGTTTCTCAGTGGTGCCAGTGATGGGAATACATATAATTATATTAGACTTTTTGAGGGTTTTTTTAAGTAGTTAGGAGATTGTGACATATTTGCTGAACACATTGCAATGAAGTTACAAATCCCCTGTGTGTCAGTTTCTTGTTGAAGGCAAAGGTCAGTAAAACAAAGGGGCCTCTCTTCACATTTGTGTGTTTCTTAACAATAGGAAACTGGTCAACCTAAAGCACATTTGGAGAAGTTTGTTAATGACAACAACTATTTAGACACAATAAAGAATGTTGCCATCCTTTGCAATAAACCTGCAATGTGCAATATAAACACTCTGCAATTCTATGGCGCTATAATCACTTTAATGTAGACGTACTTTTTTGTAAATGTGCCAACTTATATTCATTTGAGGTCACAGTACTTCAATGCCATGTATGTCACTGAGTTTACTGAAATAACTGCTACTCATTTCTAGCTATGGTTGTGTACTTATTTGTCTTATGTATGTCATTAATGTCAACATTTAAACATTTCACATTGGGCTTTTGAATCTTTGTTTTAACATTTTATAGACAAAACCTAGTTAACAACACATTTTAAGAATCTACACAAACAAATAATGAAAACAATGGTGGATTACAGCTCTGTCAACATCATTAGCCAATTTACACATGAGGGATAAGTAGAGGAATATGTTTGAATACTTAAGTAATAGCATGTTGATAGAAATATTTCTTACTTGAACATCAGTTATGAACCCCCTCCTCTCCCCCTCCTGTCATCTGTCTGCTGACCTACATTTAGTCGTGTCTCAAAGCCATTGTTTGCTGCGGGCTATTGTTCTTCTAACTTTCTTAAAACAGCTGACATGGCAGTTTCAAATCAAATACAGAAGCCTGAATAGGCACAGAAAGAGGTTATTCTCATTAGAAGTCTACCCTTTTTTCACATTGGTGTTGTTATGTCTGTCGTTTTATTTAATTTTTTTACCTGCACAGCAAGGCTTACAGCAATTTCAACTAATCACTTTTTGTCACACATTGTTTTCCAATTCAAGCCTACCTTTCTGTCATGTCCTCTTCCATGGTCTCCATCACAATTTGCAACAGATTTGCTTGACTTCCTCCTGAATTGCCTTGGCCTATGAAGGATTTTCCAGTTTTGGTATAGCATGACTGCCGGAGAGTCCCTCCATGTTTGATGGCCCAGAGAGCTGTGGTCAAGCTCAGAAAATGTGTGGCCGATCAGTTTGTGTGTGTTCATGCCAAGCGTGTTTTGAATAGCCTGTCCGAGCCTTTCAGAAACTGCTGGTCTGGCTGTCATGTGCAGTGCAAGTGGGGAAGTATGAATTCGGTATGACAGGATGGTGTGAATGTGCTTGTGAAATTGTGTGGGATAGAGGAAGCATTGGCGGGTGACTGAATATACCAGGACTCTCTCATAGCTATATTTTACGTCCCGAGCTTAAAGCACAAAGAACTAGAGCGCTGTCATCTCAAATGACCACTGATCGAAGGAGTCCTATATAGCTTAGCAGCTCGTCTGTAAAAACGTTTGTAGCTACATCTAACAAAATGTAGCCTTACATCTACAGACAGATAGGTGAAGTGGCCGTAGCATTTTGAGGCAGCCTCAGCTTTCTTGGGAATGGAGGTACAGTTTCTTGAGACTGTTCCTGAGTTCCAGTGGTGGGAAAAGTCTTTGTAGCGGTGTCGTATGGCAGAAAGGAGGTCAAGGAAACGCAGCCTGGTTGGGAGGGGACATCTGCATCCTTCACTGTGGGTAAGATGTGTAATGTAGACTTCGGACAGATGTGACTCAGCAGCGGTGATTCATTGTGTTGGTGTGCGTCACTCTCTATGTTTTCAGAAATCAATTTGGAACTGAAGCTCAGTTGAGTCTGAGAAATCTAGTCCATTGTGATTACCTTGGTTGCTGAGTTGTTTCAACAATACTTCAATTGATCCCTCTCACATTGTGTGCATTAGCTCTTTTTAAGAATATATTGTACAATCACAATATTACAGTGAATGAATTACTACCAGGTAATAATACTCTATGCTGTTATATCGTTAAAGAAGCACTATCTAGATATGACAGGAGCTCCTTGAGGTAAAATATTTGTTTCTAAATCCAACAGAAGACACTTTGACGCTCCTTCAATGTTGACTTTTTGAGTTGCAAAGCCTCTATAGAAATGCAAAACGGCGTCAGTTTAGACGTAATTCTCTCCTCCTGCTTACAGCATCATGAGAAAACATTTCATAACATTAACACAACATATTCAAGGTGGTTTTAAATAACATATCCGTATTTATTTATTTCTCCAAGTTATGTTTTTGTGTGCACTGAGGAGTCTCAAACAGGCGTTTGTTTAATCATTTTAAGATTGGCTTTAATCAATGTTTGAAAATGAATTCTTCATATGATAAATGAGAGGTAACATTTTGTTTATGGTATTATTTCCACATATTTCTCTCCATTCTTCCTTCTGCCAACGGTGTCGCAGTTTCTCGTCTCCCGTTGTTGTGCTTAGTGCGTACGCATGGGTTAGAGTTTGCGTGGAGGACCGCATGTTTTCCCATCAAGTTAGTATTTTATAAATCGCAAACATTGCGTAGAAACTGGCGTACGCCATTTTCTGAGCGTATATCCCTTTATAAATGAGGCCCCAGGTCTGTTGAGGCAAAAAGGGTAGATAATGGAAGGAATTGTGTTTTCCCTTTTTTTGATGAGCTAACTTTGAAAATGAGCCAGAATGTAAGTCCTCTTGTCTCGTATTCGTGTACGACGTGTACGTGTGGCTTAATGAGTGATGTGTTCATGTACATTTAATCAGAACTCCAGCTTGTGAAACTTTTCACATATCACTCCAGGTTAAGATAATGACAGCAGTAGTTCCCGTTATCTTAAAGTGACTAACCTGTAGATAAGTGTCTTTGATAGACCTCATCTTCTCTCTGAGCTGTTAAACTTTAACCTATTTGTCACCATCAAGATCCGGTTCTAAAGGTCAATATTGTTTAGCCAAAACATTACAAACACCTCTCGCAATAATTCTTCTGTTGTAGCAACTTGGTGGAAAGGTTTGAAATGACTTCAACTCTTTTTATATGAATTTAAGTAGCTTTTAAACTCTGTTTGATGTCAGGCGATTGTGCCATATTAAGTATTTTAACAGTTACTGTCACCTGCTTTATGTATTGGTTAATTGTCAGACCTTTGGAATGAGAAGTTATAATCCCATGAAAGCAGCTTACTCTAAACAAATGACATTGTTGCTTGCTGACAATGTAAGAAAAAGTGAAGGATGAAACCGCAGATGGCTGAACACACTGAACGAAGACACTTTTTGTTCCTCAACTGTTCTCACTTCCTGTTTTTGTGTGTGTTTCCAGTCCCAAACCATGAATATTGTGGGCCAGTTTGCGGAGACGGTGTTTGTGACGGTGAAGGAGCTGTACCACGGCCTGAACCCCGCCACTCTGACCGGGGGGATCGATGTCATTGTGGTGCGACAGCCTGATGGATCCTTCCAGTGTTCCCCCTTTCACGTCCGCTTCGGCAAACTGGGTGTGCTGCGCTCCAAGGAGAAAATTGTAAGTGTCTTAATTACGTTAACTGCCACTGCCGTCATAGCTCAAAGATTCAAGAATCAAAGGTTTTATTGTCATATGCACATAAGCTACTGTAAAAATGGCAATGAAAATAGTGCAAGAAGTCTATATACATGTAAATAGAATATGATATATAAAGCTCTCTGCTACTGGGAATTCTTTGACATATTGGCATGCATCACTGTGTCTTCAGGTGGACATTGAGATCAACGGAGAATCAGTTAACTTGCACATGAAGTTGGGCGACAACGGAGAAGCTTTTTTTGTGAAGGAAAATGAAAACGAGGAGGTATGATGACGGACATTCGATGACCATGTCTCAAATCTTTGGCAACATTGCATCAGTCTGTTATCTTTGACTCTTTTTTTTTATCCTCATCAGTCCCAAGTCCCAGCCCATCTGTGCACCTCCCCAATTCCCGTTGAGGGCCCTGAGGAGATGGAGGAGACCCCCGAGGGAGCCTCCATCACCGGGTCTGGTGCCCGCAGGAAGAAGCGCCGTCGCAAACGCATCCGGTCTGATACTCACCTGAGAGAAGAGGCCAGCTCCTCATCAGAGGAGAGAGAAAGGGAGAAGGAGTGGGAGAGAGAAAGTGACCCGGCCGGGGGGGAAAGCCCTGCTACAGACGAGCCCCTCACACCATTGCAAATCAGGTCAGTGATTTTTTTTTAAAGAGGAATTTTTTTTTTCATCTTTGCAAAGACGGCATAGTATTTTAGTATTTTGGTGCCTTAAGTTCTGTGTGGAGTACAGCTCCTATAGAAAGCAGCTGATATTTACATACTGTAATGTCAATACGAGCAACTTTTTACAGGGTATCATGTTGCTCAATGTTGACACCTTGAAAGTTGACACAGTAGTGGAAAAATATCTTCTTTCATGTGTGTGTTATAGTAAGTCAGTATATTACTCGCTGTCTGAGGAGCCAAATGAGGATCTGGGGGCCACACAGACAAGAGACACTCATCCACACTCAGATGGAGAGCAGTCACCCTCAGAAAGGTGAGCAAGGAACGGATTCATTCATGTATTTACTTGTTTGCATTGAGCAGCCGCACAGCTGTTGAGTCCAGAGACGTGCACACATAGACTCTAGGTAGTGCTTGAGCACCTGCCCGTTTTGCCCTCAGGACAGCAATGTGCCCTTTTGAAAGTTCGTTTTTTACAGTTTTTTATTTAATTTTTTTACAGTGTACTGTATGTGGCTCATGGTAACATCGATCAATTCTGGATTAAAAGCTTCTAATATATACAACAATGCCCCAAATGCGCGATGTAATTTTGTCAGACATCCCCACACGTGCCCCGCGGCACTCCCGTACGTGCCCTGGCTGCAGCCCCTCCCTTCCCTGCTCTCAAAGTGAACCATAGACTGATGTGAACGCGCAGCGCGCAGAGCAGACAGTCAGTCACTCAGTCAGACAGGCCACGGCGGGTGTGTGGTGCAGCAGCACGCAGCAACACGATTAAAAGTGCCCTAGTGACGACCAAGTAAGTAACCACCAGGTAACAAATACAACGAGTGTATTGTTTAGTCCCCTAAATCAGATGCAAAACTAAACTAAAACTTTACTTATTTTCTTGCATCCATCCATTTAGTCTCGTTGTGCACTTTTGAAAATAGCAGATCTACACGCTCACAATGCGTCATTATGCTAGGGCTGAAGTGATTAAATGTATGTTTTGTAATAATCTTAATCAAAATCTACATAGTAACTAGTAACTAAAGTTTTCAAATAATTGTAGTGGAGTAAAAGTAGAATATTTGCATCTGAGATGTAGTGGAGTAGAAGTAAATGTATTGAAAATGGGAAATACTCAAGTAAAGTAAAAATGCCTCATAAAGTAGGCCTACAATATAAGTAGTAGTAACCTTATAGGTTTACATTAATGCTGCTGTTAAATGTTTCTAGGAGATTAACCCTTAATTATCATGCACAGCAGAGCAGTACATTGATTTAGCTCATTTGCATTTACCACTTGTAGAATAATGCCAAGAAGAGACAGGATAAGAAAAGAAAAGAGAGCTACAGCAGGCAGCCCGGGGAAGCAGCTCTCTGCTCTCCTGGGTAAAGCAGCCTGAGCCTACCAGCAAGGAAGTTGAGGATGCAGATGTGCCTGATGAACCCTTACCCATCATCAATGATGAAGATGAAGAAGAAAGGTCAGAGTCAATACCAGAGTCATGTTAAGGGACACACTGTCTGTCTAGAGCCCTTTCATGCTCAGATTTGAACTGTGATAATAATAGTAGTAATAATAATAATAATAATAATAATAATAATAAATAATAATATAATTGTATTGAGAGGCCCATAATTTATTTTAACCACACTAAGTGATACTAAATCAGACATGAAGCTACTTACCAAATGACAAAAAAACAACAACTATGTGGTAGGGTGTTGAATTTTGGCCATGACAGTTAAAGTCTGGTGAGTCTTAATGTTATCATGCATTGCATTGCCTTACCCAAATAATTGAAATAAACATCATATTCTATATTGTTTGTATTCTAGGCTGCTACAGCAGGCTCAGGGAAGCAGCCCCCTGCTGTCCTGCAATAGTCCATCTAAGATGAGGGAGACAAATCCATAGAAAATATCTCTGAGTCAGACACAGATGAAGCAGAAATGTCAGAGTCCAGAGCAGCACCATGTTCAGAAACAGTGCTCTCTGATGATGACCAAAATGAGGGAGAGATGGAAGGAGTAACCAAAAATCGAAAAGAAACTAACAAAATCCACCATTATCCGGCAAATTTCCGCGCACAATTTCGCGCGCGGGCGAACGCCAGACCGCCACGACGACTCAGAAGGTGCCCTTTTTTTTCTCTTGAGCACCTGCCCCTATAAATGTCTGTGCACGCCACTGGTTGAGTCAGTGTAAGATTACATTACATTACATTGCATTTAGCTGACGCTTTTATTCAGAGCAACTTACAATAATTACATTCGACCAGGAAGACACAACCTTGAAGAAAACAGAATCATATAAGTACATCAGGTTTCATAGAGCCAAACATTTCAAGTGCTACTCAACTGGCTTTAGATAAGCCAGTCCTTTATTAGTATATAAGTGCTCTGTTAGCAGTTCTTTGTTAGTAATTCTATCGCTCGAAGTGCAGTCGAAAGAGATGAGTTTTCAGTCTGCGCCGGAAGATGTGCAGGATGACAGAGATAACGTCATACTGTTTATTCACTTTCAGTAATGGTTTCTTTTTCTCTATTTGTCTTTCTCTTTTACAGCAATGTGTTCTACAGCCGCTCATCATCTCCTAAGAGCGACTCCGAGCTTTTAGTTAAACCCAAGGAGTCGTCTGGGCCTCAGATGCAGTGGAACTGGGGAGGTTTTCCCATGGTATATACACACACACACACACACACACACACACACACATACCATGTATACATCACTTCAGGGGACATTACATTGACTTACATGCATTTCCTGGAGACTTATCCTGACCTTAACCATAACCAACACATGCCTAACCCTTACCCTAAACCTAACCAAGTCTTCACCCTAAAATTAATGATTCCCCTCATGGGGACCTCCATTTTGTCCCCATAAGGGAGGCGAGTCCCCACACGTGACTGTATAAACAGATTTAGGTCCCCACAAGTATAGTAATGCTAGGCCACACACACACACACACACACACATACACATACACATACACATACACATACACACACACACACACACACACACATCTAGATGTTATGCTGTCAATTTGAGATTGTCATGCTGACACACTGTCTCAAATTGCTCTTTTCTGCCCTCCCCCTCACAGCTGTGTCAATCTGAGCGGACACCAGTGGAGTTACAGCACATCTCCCCTTCTGGCAGTTCTCATTTCCGCACCATTGAAAGACAGGACTCGTTTGACATGAGCTGTGAGCCTGTGATCAGCTGCGGCAGGGTGGACAGTGTCACAGTGGTCCGGCCACAGCCCAGGACTCAATCCCTAGACCTTAGTAACCACACTATGCAGACCCCAGCTTTTTCTTTGGAGAATAACTCTCACATGGCCCATTCCACCCCCACCGACTTCTCTGAATCAGCAAAGACTAATGTGGACTCAGCACAGGCGATAGGGGCCACATTAGAGGAAGAGGAGAACAGACACTCACCTTCATGTTTAGATAATCAAACTAATGGCACAGATTCTCCTGCTAGCAAAGAAATCACCATCAGTGTTGAGCACATCAGCACTGATAGTGTGACCAAACCAAACGACACACAAATACAACTCATTAAAGAGAGCGACGACTGCACAGTTACATCAACAAGTCCAAGTAGTACAGAGGTATCAAATCCACCACAGCAGGGTGCTTTATCGGAGCAAAGTGAGCAGGGTTCCACCGGCAGTGCCCCCAACAGCGAGGGGGACAGCGGGATAGACCCCTGCGCTGAGGGGGGGGAGCAGAACGCTGCAGGGACTGAAGGGCCAGCAGGAGGCTCCCTGACAAACATAACCGAGGGATTAGCCGACCCTTCCGAGGCATCATCCAAAGTGGAGGACAAGAAGAAAGGTGACAGATTGTATTAAACTCTCTTATTTATGTTAATACATTATGTTATAGGTGTGTCTAACTTCAGACCTTGTGGTAAAACAATTTCCTTTATGTGAGCTCTCCTCATGGATTGATTTGTCATTTTGTTTCAGGTAAACGTAATCACCATCTCGGACCAACAGGTATTTACTTGGATGATCTGACCAAGTTGGAACCCGAGGTGGCTGCACTCTACTTCCCCAAGAGGTAAACACATAAGACTTCTTCACAAATAGTATTATGGTCAAATTAAGTAACACCGCATTTTAAGCAATCATAAGTATGGGACCTTTATTTAAATTCATCACAGAAACTTCATAGATCTTTTATTATGCAATCAGAAGACATTTATTCAAATGTGCCGATATCAGTAAAATATTAAGTGAATGCAGGATTATTTAAGTAATCATTTATATTAATATTACAAAGCATAATAACCAATACTGAAGTCTATTCAAATGTTCTTACAGTGTCCATATTGTTTTATTTCTATTGAAACAACTCCAATGACTGTTCTGCGCTGTCTATGAAGTGTTGACAAATTGTCTTCTGTTGTCCCTTGCAGTGAGACAGAGGGGGCGTCTCAGCTCGGGGGGGAGCAGGGCTCCTGCTCGGGGAGCCAGTCTCCTCAGTCGGTGGGCAGCGGGGCCATGGACAGCGGGACAGAGTACCTGTCAGACTCCATCTCCTACAACATGGACGTCAGCATGTCCCTCTGCGGACAGGTGGGAGACACCAGCCAAATCACTAAAGGTGAGTCAGAGTGAAGGATGCTGCTGGTCTGCAGTCTGTGCTGGGACAGGAAGTCTAATCTGACACATGTCGATTTTTCCTTTAATTCAGAGAAGTTCATGGAGCACATCGTGACCTACCTGGATTTTGCCAACAATCCAGGAATCATTGAGGATCCAAACCTTGTGATCTGCATCAACTCCAAGTAAGATCTGGAGTTAGATGGTTGTTTACTTATACAATTGGCATTATAAATGTATTTGTTACACTGTATGTATTTTTTAGGAGTCCTTTTTAAACATGTCATGTCAATGATTGGTCCACAGCTACTATAACTGGGCCGTTGCTGCTCCGATGGTCTTGTCAATGACAACGTTCCAGAAAAGCCTACCCAAGGTATTTTAGTGTTTCCACACACTAGAGATATTTTTGTTTTTGTTTTTAGTACTGTTTTTATTTTGTAAACACTCAGACTTAACATACATACAACATAAACCCGCATAGTACACAAATGTGTGCAGAATGGCTACTGCACGTATAACATACATCTCTCCATGGGTGACAGTAACATCACCTTAATACAATCATGTAGCAAGATATCTATGTATATCTCAGCAAACATACACATTCCTTTAATAAAAGCACAGAGAGAAATGTCATCAGCATAATAAATTATAATCATAATGGCCTGAGGTGTGGCCTCATTACAATGAGAAACATCAAATAGGAGGAAAAAGAAATCAAGATATAAAAAACAAAACATTTGAGATATTAATGATGTTAGTAAAACATAATTACAAGTTATTTTGTAATTGATTCACAAGTTTATAGTCCAGGTCAGATAAGATAATTGTTAGCCGGTGAATGTGACTTTAGGAGGTATATAATTATTGCCTTTTTTGTTTGTGTGATTGCGTGCCTTTGTCATTCAGAGTGCGATAGAGCAGCTGGTGAAGGACAAAATGCCCAAAAAGTCTGGACGCTGGTGGTTCTCCTGGAGGAGGAGACAAATGGACGACAGCCAGGTACATTCTCAAGTACTTTCATGCCTTAACACATGTAGTTATGATGGTGAGTGATAGTTTGAAAGTGTCGAACATACAAAAACTAAATGCTGTGATCTCCACTACTTAGCTAGAGTTAGTTTTACGTTCTGTCCACGTAGACCCAAGAATACTGCGGATGGTAGAGATGAAAGTCATTAAAGATTTAGTCCAGACGCTCTGTTTGTCTAAATGACCATTGACACTTGACCTTGTTGTTGTTAGAATATACCTTATATTTTAATTTCCTTTGTTTTTAGCAAAAGGACTCGAAGCAGGAACAAGAGGAGCCACTGGCAACTGTTTCTTCCACAGTAAAGTAAGTCACCTCAACAAGATTTGATCTAACTCATCATGTAGTTCCCCTTTGTGCCACCAGAGTGTATCAAAACTCTCTGAAATGTTTCTTTATTGCCATGTAGGTTTTGTTCAGATAAAAATAATGCGCTGTGATGAGAAAATATAAACATATAACCATAAATGTTGATTTGATGTCTGTTGTTTCTCCAGAGGCACACTGGATGACATCGACAGTGATGAGGCGGCGGGCCTCGGCCGAAAAGCCATGCTTCCTGCCGGCCTATCAACAGAAACCCTTAATGCCACTCAGAGTATCACACAGATCTACCGCAAATCACTGCGTCTGACCTCTGAACAGATAGTAAGAGACACAAATTCATACACCCACATACAATTTTTGTTTACTTTTACTGCTATCTAATTTATGAATAGGATGAACATTTTGTATACTGTACTCCGAACTCACTCGATCCTTTCTCATTACCAGGAGCACCTCAACCTGCGCGAGGGGGCCAACAAGGTGGTGTTCAGTGTGACCACACAGTACCAAGGCACCTGTCGCTGTGAGGCTGCCATCTACCTGTGGAACTGGGACGATCGAGTCATCATTTCAGATATAGATGGCACTATCACCAAGTAAAAACAACTGCCTCTCTATACACACTATGCAGTTTAGATGTCTCAATACACACCGAGCAATAATAGTTCCTGCTCATTATGAAAGATACACAGTAGATCGATGTTTGAACATACGTTTATACCAAATGTATATCAATATAGTAATCTTTACTGATTTTCTCCCGCAGGTCTGATGCTCTGGGTCATATTCTACCTCAGTTTGGAAAGGACTGGACACACAAAGGCATCGCAAAACTCTACCACAAAATACACCAGTATGTGAAATGACTGTTTACTTTTTTTCTCATAAAGTAAAAGCGTCATTGTCTTTAACAGGTTTTTCCTTTTAGTCAATTTCTCTAACTGAACTTTAACACACAGTACTCACTACAACATAACAAGCAGAACAGATCAAATGTGTTCATGCAGAGGATTTAATTCTGATGTCATGCTGTTGGCAGCGGAGTGTCTAATCTGCATTGCCAGATGTTTCCCTGTTTGTTCCTGTTTCATATGGGAATTTAGCTGTTAATTGAATTAGTTTTTATTTTATTAAAGGTTCTTATCTTATGTTGCACAATTCACGATATATTACTTATTTCTGAAGAACGTGCTTAATGCTGTCGGTCAACTCATTTACAAGCAGAAGTGGAACACTTCTTATTTTTATGAGACTAAAATGCTAATATGGTCGCTTCTGTTCTTGCAGAAATGGCTATAAGTTCCTGTACTGTTCAGCGCGGGCCATAGGTATGGCTGCCATCACCAAGGACTACCTTCAGTGGGTCAATGACCAAGGCATAGTCCTTCCTCAGGGCCCCGTGCTGTTGGCCCCCAGCAGTCTCTTCTCAGCACTACACAGGTAACAAATACTACCTCACAGGGACCGTCCTACTAATACACTGTACCGTTAAAAACAGATTTGTATAAAAACAGATAAGACATACTGTATCTGTGAGTTACGTATCACAGCTCTGCACTGTTTGAGAAAAGTGTTTATGTTTGAAAACCAATGTACTGCTGTCCTCTAGTGGCCACTTCTCTACACCAAACAGGTGCTACTCTGCTCAGTCACTACACTGTATAATATGCATTAACGTATGCTAGGAAACAACACTTGAACAGATGTTCATTTTGACTTTAAACTGTCTGTCTCTTACTTTGCAGAGAGGTTATAGAGAAGAAGCCGGAGGTGTTTAAAATTGCCTGTCTGGGTGACATCAGGGACCTGTTCAACCCCCAGAGGCAGCCCTTCTACGCAGCCTTCGGAAACAGGACGAACGTAAGCAGCGCTGCAGAATGTCTCTTACCCATTTGTACCAAATACTGAAAGTTTACATTTCCTTTGTTTGTAAGTCATGTTCTCTGGGCTTGACTTAGTAGAATTCTTAAAATCAGTCAAACTGTTTGGACATTAGAGTATTGTTTTTAAAGAAAAAACATACAATGTTCCCAAATATTAATTATAGAATGATTTTAAAATGTCTGTATCTCAGAGAAACGACAAATAACTAAATCAAGTATGTGGTCTCTATGAACTCATAACAACATGAATATCAAAGCTATGTCCACATACTTATAGTATTATTTACAATTTTTCACTGAATTTAATTTAATTTGAACCCAAAATATCAAAGTTAGACTGTCAGATACTATAGACCAGGGGTGTCAAACTCAATGTCATCTAGGGCCACATAAGCATCATGGTTGCACTCAAAGGGCCAGTTTTATATATATATAAGACTATATAAAAATACATAAATAAATATATAATATATATATATATATATATATATAAAGCAGAAGTCTATGGCAAATAATTGCAAGTCTCTTCAGTGAGAATGTCACAAAATGATTTAAAAAGAAAAGCCAAATTCTGGAAAAAGTCAAAATCAACAAAAATAAATGACATTTTGAACCCTAACCCTGAAGAAAAGTCAAATTTGAGATGCATTGTGGGACATGTAGTTTATGAGCAACATGCTTCTGTAAATCGGCATGTAACCGTATAATAAACATATATTCTTTGCAAGCTCTTGTGGGGAAGTCACAGGGCGGATTTGACCCCCGGGCCTTGAGTTTGACACCCCTGCTATAGACCATCACAACCCATGTGTAGCATTTTTCTCTATCATACTAAATATAGTCTTTGAGCATAAATTGGTAACGCCACCACTTTCAGCAACACATCTTTTATCAGGTTATTTAGGAGCTTAGTTGCCTATTTGAAAGTGTTTTAGAACATGGCACAAAACTGTGTGTACATAAAGAAACCATTCAAGTTAGGACAAAGAACACACACCATTAGTTTGAAATGGTTTTATCTTTATCCTGTAATGTACTCCAGCAGGTAGACATGATGTGTGGGTCTGGGGTTTGCTTTTGTAGATAGAGTAATCACTGGTTAATGATTTATGATCAGGGATTAGTGCTAATACAGCCAAACAATCTTTTTAGTGCACAGGTATACTTCAAAGTCACACTGAAGTTGATGTGTGTGTAACTGTTCTTTTGCTACCTTTCTTTTGTCAGGATGCGTTTGCCTATAAGCAGGTGGGGGTGCCCGACACCAGGTTATTCACCGTCAACCCAAAAGGAGAGCTCATCCAGGAGAGGACTAAAGTCAATAAGTCCTCGTAAGTGTGCAACAGAACACAAACACCCACACAAATACTGATAAGTCACACGTTATCCTGCACTCATTTCCTTTATGATTATTTTACCAGAAAATGAGTCCTAAAACCCAGAAATGAGTATGCGGTTTTTCACTTCAAGTTCCCTTATCTTAAAGTCAATGTATTTAGGTTTTAATGTGTTTTGGTTAGATGCCTGAAATAAGGTCTGTGTTTAACAGCTTAAGACATTTGAACGTTTCGTTAATAAGCACATCTGTAAACTTAAAATAATGTTTACTCAAGAGACGATAGAGGATTGTGTCCATTAAACAACATCCCATTGGCGGTTACATGAAACCATGCGACAGGGGTGTATCAATCAATCAATGTTTATTTATATAGCCCAATATCACAAATGTTACATTTGTCTCAGTGGACTTTACAGTTTGTACAAAATATCAGTATGACAATACGACACCCTCTGTCCTTAGACCCTCACATCGGTGTAGTCTGTTAATTTAGTTTGACTTCTGACAATTGCTTCAAAAATCATAACAAGTTGTGTAATTTTGTAAAGAGTCATCTGAACTTGTTTTCCCCAAAGAGCTTATTTTTTAGCAACGATACAAAATGTCATGAAAAAAATACCATCGAGGGAACCAGTGAGTTTTAATTTTGCGGTTAGCCTACAAAATGAAGTCATACTTGCAAAACCTAATTGCATGAACATTATACACATGCAGCACTCTTTATCAGATGATCGGTCAATGGGAAAGCCACTTATACAACATTTCACTTTAACAGCACATTTTCAAAACGTTTGATCTTAGATGTGCTTATGTCTAATTCCTGGAGTTCTGAGTCAGTTGTGTGTTCTTGTGTTTTGCAGGTACAGCCACCTCAGTGAGTTGGTGGAACATTTCTTCCCCATGCTCTCCATCGGGGGCAGCACGTCGTCCGCTTTGGACTGTCCTGAGTACAGCAGTTGCTCCTATTGGAGAGATCCTCTGCCAGAACTGGACTTGGATGCACTACTGTAGACACACACATATGTTTTAAAGCAACCATTTTAACTCTATATGTTATCTCCTGTTTCCAGCATGTCTGAATATTGCCTTTGACAGAACTGCCAACTGTAGTGCCTGATTATGAGACAGAATAAACAGAAAGAGCATCTGTCTTTCTCAAAGAAGAATTGCCAAATTAAGTTATAATGTCCATGGACTTAACATTTCTAAGTGTCCAAACATAATGCAGTACTTAATCTCAGTGCTCTATCACTGATGATGGCTGTTAACACACAATTAAGCTATTTTTATGTGAAACTCCTACAGTGAAAACAACTGGACACTTGTGCCTTTGGACTTTTTCAGTTTTTTGTTATTGTGTATACCAGTATCCTAGTCATTCCAGAATTTAACACTTGCACATTTCAGCTCTAAACACTTACTGTAAACATGTTTAATATGGTATGAGAACGTTTTTAAATTATTTGTATTTTTGTAAGGGTCTTTTGACAATACTCTGTTGTTGTCAAACACAATAATGTTTTCTAAGGAGAGCTTTTGATGGGAAGTTGGATTTTATTTTCTGTGGTAATTGTGGAATCACAGCCTGCAGGTGAATATGGAGGAGTAGTTTGTGGTGAGGGACGCTAGGATTATGTTTTCCTTAATACCAGAGGATTGCAATAACAAGATGATCTGAGCATTGATCATTGTGAAACTACAACATGAGTTTCTTCTTTTCACAGACTGCACTACCAGTTTTAGAAATGTGTGTACACTAGATGAATGCGAAGGAGGGTCAGACTGAGACTTTTATTCCAGAGAAGTGTAAATGGACCTCGGAGGGGAACAGCGGTGTTTGTAGCCTGGCAAAGTGCCTTCTGTTGGATGACTGTTATATGTATTCATTCTAAATATATTTTATTGTCAAACTGTGTGGAGATGCATTGGAGATCAATATTTTAAACCAAATATATATAAATAAAATGTAAATGCAACACTACCGGTTTCTTGGTCATGATTGAAAATTACATTGAGTATGATTTAATTGTATTCTTTTTTTCAAAAGGGCCCAAGTACATTTCCAATTGCTATCACTGAATAGCTTTTAGTACACTTACTTGCAATAGAAGAAGAAAAAACTAACATAATGCTGAATTCGGAGGACATGTCATTAGATCTAGAGGCAAAGGGTAGGTAAATACAAATACAAATTTGCATGAAGTCAGGCTGACTACACAGCATGGATTACCCCATTGTGTCACAATGTTTCTGAAAGGCGGATTTGAACGCTGATCGGTGCGTCAGTGCGTTTTATGGGTACTTACCTGAACAGGAAGAGTCGATAGAAGACTGCGCTGTGTGAAAAGGTGAGTGTTTTTCTACATTTGTCTTTAATACTGCTTAATTATTTCTTCTTAAATGACGGACAGTCTGTTTTATAAATAACTGGCTTTAAGTGACACTTAATAACGTAGTGCTCACTATTTTTCAAAGAAGTAAAGCCGAATATATTGAAATCAAATCTATACATAGCAGCAGCATAAACATTATGATAAAGTTAGTGTAATTCAAGTGAAGGAGTCTAAACTTGGTATATGGCCGCGTGGGGCAATACTGCTCGCTGGAAATCGAAACTTAAGCAACAGATAAACAACTCACGCGCTGCCAAACAACGCACAAACATTTGAGACTTAGCCTATTTTAGCCTTTGGCTAATGGACACACTTTCCTGCGACTTCGTTAACATTCGTTGAAACTTTGGTCAAGCTTGTCCACAGTTTGGTTTGTTACTAACTTTTAAAAACGTATTTATCTTGCATGCATGGACAGTTTGGTTTCTTACAGTGCTGTGTCTTAATTTGTTGGTTACTTCCCCTGTTTTTCCGGCTACACCTGCAAGAAAGAAGCATGACTATGCATTCATTTAGTATTTTCAGTGCATGTTGGGGCAGTGGGGTTGCATGCTGAATTTTCCAGTAAGTTCTCATTTAGTTAAAAATAAATACTTGTAGTAGAACATTTCCACACATGTTGCTGGATAACACTGAATCCCGTGTTTTTGGAACAGATTTAGTGTTTAGCCATTTAAATATTAATGTTAAGATTTGCTATAAAATATACAATGCAATGCAAAAAGTAAAACTGACAATGTGTTTATATATTTTTTTAGTGAGAGGAACTAATGGTATGTATGCCCTGATATTATATGCTTTTGTTCTTACTTTCCCATCCATGCTATTTACACAGATTTGTTAACTTATAAAACGTTAACAAGCAATGAAGGTTCAATTACATAAAAGTTTTTGGTAAAAACTGTTATTAGGAAGTCTTACCCTAAGTTATCTGTTTTTCCAGGTCCTGCCGTCATGTCTGCGAGTGAACCTGAAGCAAACCTTTCTAAAATGGATCATCCAGGAGCTATAACTTTGGAGCTCACTTGCCCCATGTGCCTGCAGCTCTTCTCTGATCCAGTTTCTCTCCCCTGTGGTCACATCTACTGCTTTGCCTGCCTTCAGACCATGTGGGAAGGCCTTGACCAACACAGCTGCCCTGAGTGCCAGGCAGACTATCAGGGAACCAAAGCCCTTGTGAAAAGCTTGAAAATGTGCAGCATCATGGAGTCCGACAAAGCCACTGCTGGGAAAGTCAACTCCCCTGCAAATCCTCCTGACATCGACCATGCTAAAGAAGAATCAAACACAAAAACAACCAAGGAGAGTTCAGAGTCAAAGGGAAATTATGGCTTTTCTATTGGGTCTGGATCCACAGGCAAAGGCAAGATGGAAATGGATGAACCTAAATTCAAAATGGCATCTCAAGTCACAGAGTTGAGCCTCAAGTTGGAGATGGCAGAAACAGTGCTGGGGAAGGAGAAGGAGCGGGAGTTAGAGGTGAGCACTGCTAATGGTCAGCTGAGAGAGAAAACAAGCAGACTCTTAGAGCAGATAACATATTTATCACAGGGATACAGCGCACAGGTGCATCAGCTGATAGAAGATGAGCTCGCTCCAGGTGAGGCCAGTGTAGGCAGTCGAGTCAGCCAAGCTTCTGAGATGACAAAACAGCTGAGGCAAGCGATGCTCAGAGCAGAGTCCCTTCTGACTGAGGATGACGAGGCTGCATTTAGTGACGAGCTTCAGACTCTACAACCGCACATTGAGGAGTTATTGGCCAAGCCTGTGGGAGAAGAGGAAGACTACATTGAGTCAAAGGTCAACTCTGCACGTGCCTGTCCCAAGCTTGAAGAGATGAATTCTCAGCTAAGGGAAAGATTTGGAGAGATTCAGCGCTCCATTCGAAACACACTTAACCCCTCAGAGGTGACATTTGACCCAGAAACAGCCCACCCCAACTTTGTCCTCTCAGAGGACTTAAAGACAGTGTCTTATAGTGTTGCCAAACAGCCCTACCCATCCTCTCCTCAGAGGTTCACTAACTTCCTCCAGGTCCTCAGCACCCAGAGCTTCTATGAAGGTGAACACTGCTGGGATGTGGAGCTTGAAGGTTCCCCGTGGATCATCGGCGTGTGCTACAGTGCGAAGCTGGCACGCAGCGGGTTGCCCTCTGCTCTGGAAAGCAGCCGGAGCTCCTGGTGTCTGATGTGGTTCAACAACCTGCTGACAGCCTTCGAGCAGGGCCACAATGTGCCTCTGAAGAAGACCACTGTATCACGTAAGCTAGAGATCAGACTGAGTTTCAAGACCCACAGGCTGAGTTTCTACAACATCAGCCCCTCCAGTGGGAAGACTCATGTGTACACATTCAAGGCTAACCTGACTGAACCGGTGCACATAGCCTACAGGATGATGTCAGGGGAACCCAAAGGCCGTGTCACTATTTATTCATAATCATACATTTATTCTTAGTAAATGTGCTCCATAGAAGGAAGAGGAAGTAAATACATTGTTTTGCGACTTCATTTGTATGACTAATACATTTAAACTATTAAGTTATATCTTGAAAGAAAACAAAGACTCTCTGTTCAGGTATTATGATGGTAGCTACTTCCTGATCACCTACTTACTTTGGCCGATCACTTTGGATGCTTTGTGTGATAATATATAACTGATTCCCAAGTATACATAGGCATATAAAATACAAATGTGACTGAATAACTCATTGCCTTGTGCCTAAAACATAATGTGCTCAAAATGGTGTGTCAATAAATGTAATTGTCTTGTCATTATTTTTATTTTTTCCCAACCCGTTATTTTTCTACTATTCAAAGTATCTCAAAATGCATAATATATTATCATCATATGCATAGTTATTCACGTTTTGGATTAAAATATTGCAACCTGCCTCAAGGTTTACAAAAAACAACTCACACGTCACTCTCAATGACTTCTCGCGAGATTCTCCGGTTGTTTGGAGAGAGTGTCAGCTGACCTCACTGAAAAAAAATTGTTAACGAAACTATCCAGTACAGCCATGTCCCGTATCGGTGATCAATTTATGGATCGATTGCAGTGCGTATGATAGCGTGTAAGGCATACGCTGAAGTCATATTTTGAGAGCATTTTACACCAGTTGTTCTCCTGACGAAGAGTCTACTGAATCGGTGAGATGTTGTGTTTTTCTTACCAGTTAAAGCCCTCGTTACATTGGAGCGGCGTCAGTGCACTTGCACTAGTATTACGTTTGTTGTGATGTTAAATTGCAATAGACATTCACTTTTAGCATTGTTATATTTACTGCATGTGTCTCTTACGTAAGGTCAAACAATCATTTTAATTCACTAACAAAACATCCTCTTCCGAGCGCTGTTAGTATGTAGCACCGTTAGCTAACATGAACATCTTATAAAACATACATACTTACAGTACACGTACTGTAAGTAAGGCTTTCTACGTTATGCTTAACGGTCGGTTACTAACCACTTTACGTTTCAATTACAAGAAAGAGCGCTGTAGAGTTGAAGCCTTCTCATGCTATGTTGTTTACCCTAGTAAGCTAATGTTGCTGTACAAATAAGCATATGTTACTTAAGTATAAATACTATGGTCTTAACATACTCCATTACAAGTAAAACATATTGTATGCAAAATGTAGAATGCAGAAGTACAGAAGTATTATTTTTGTACATTGGTGGTGCAGTACTGCATCTTATCATAGAAGGAAATCACATGCTGTGTTTAATAAATGTAGTGGAGTAAAAAGTACAATATTTGCATCCAAAATGTAGTGAAATACTCAAGTAAAGTACAATTATGCCAAACTTATACTTAAGTATGGAACTTGAATAAATGTACTTTCCACCTCTGGATGAAATACCCCTTAACAAATCCCACTGTCCTGAACATGTCTTTTCTTAGAATAAGAGATTTAAAAGGTCTGGTATCAGTCTCAGTACATGTTTAAATTAACCATCTTTTTCCCCCTCAGGGTAAGCCACCATGCTAGCCACAGTGACTGCTGTGGTTAGGTTTGCTCAATACAATGGCAGTATTTCACCTACACCATTGGAGAACACATCTGCATTCCCACCTTGGCAACCTGATTCTGAAGCCAACATCTCCAAGCCTCACAAATGTCTACAAGTTCTGTATGAGGATGTTGGAGACTCCAGGTATTCAGTAGCACACTTCAGAAGAAATGGTTAAAATCAGAAAAAACAAAAAACGACACTGGTTCTTTTTTAAACGTTGTTAAAGGTGACATGTCATGCTTTTCCGGTTATTACCCGCCCCCTTGTGTGTTATGAAGGTTTTTATGCATGTAAATGGTGTGCAGAGTCAAAACCCTCAAAGTACACCATGTAGCGAGTAAAACTCTAAAACAGAAAATACCTCTCCAAAACGCCTCGTTGGAGATAGTCACTGTCCATTTGATTCTTCCGGGTACATCATGATGTCATGTCGTCCCCGGAACGAAATGGACCAATCCGTGGAGCCGTTACGTTACGTCCGCGTAGCCGTTACGTTAAGCCCCCGCTGATTGGTCCAAATTGTCCAAGAGCTGCAACGAGCCGTTTAGTGGAGAGAGTGAATACTGCTGAAT